GATACCCCACCCCTGCTAGCGTGGGTAAGGGAAAAAATATTGACCCGTAAGGGAAAAAATATTGACCCCTAAAACACACACACAAAAACTGTAACCTAGAAAAAAAAAATCACACACACACACACACACACATACACCTGCTCGCAAAGCTGTGGGTAGCCGAGTAAAAAGAAAAGGCAAAGTTTTCACCTTACCTGATAGATGGACTGCTGAGAAATGTAGTCAGTAGTGAAGAAACTCGCGGTCCGTTCTGATTTGGATGGCGTGTGATGCTCGCAAGTTAGTGATCGGAACGTCGGGATCTGTGAGAAAGGCAAAGGTAACACCAACCCTGTGCACTATTTTAACACAACACAACACCGAAAACTGCGTCTTCCACCCAAACCTCAATTCGAAAAATCCCAAAAAGCCGCCGCTCTTTCTCCAATCACCGAGAAATTTAATAATGACCTACAAAGGTTGAGTTGAGAATAGAAGAATTTAAATTGATTAATCTACCAACTCGACGCTCTCTTTTGAAGCAGTTTCTGTCCTCCCTCTCACGCTGCGGGGCGGAGTGTGAGGGAGTAGAGTGTTGCGCGCAGTCGTTTTGAACTCGGCCTACAGGCACAGGGATCTACGACCTCAGTTGTTCACTCGGTGCAGCGCGCTTGCAAAATTGACCGACTTTCAGGGAATACAACAGACCAATAACAATCAATGCACAACAGGGCGTGAGTTAGGCCTAATACATTCCCCCTTTTGTGCACGGACACACGCAGCACAGGGGTAAACACCACACACGCACACACGCGTGCACACTCTGACACACACACACAGGCATACACACCTACACACCCACACACACACACATACACACACACGCGCGCGCGCGCGCACACACACACGTTCGATATGGTCACTAACGGTGAGAAAACAGGCCGAAGATGAGAGATATCAAGGGTATCACTAACAGCTGCACAACTGTTACTGCAAAACAATTTTAGAACCGTCGAAAACTGCACGAAAACCACAAAGACGCCCGGCGTTCGTTTTGTGTTCAGGAGGCGTTCTCAGCAAGCGCATGGCGAAACAGTTATCTCCCTTCACCTTCGTTTGACGCGGGCTGATGATGAAATGTGTGCCACGGAAGATCCCATTCTGGAAAAGGTGGAGTCAAGATGCACCATTCTCTCTCTCTCTCTCTCTCTCTCTCTCTCTC